CTCTATGGAACTATATCCGTTGGAGCAACAGACCATGGGGCACCAGAGGGGCAAAATTCACACGGAGGAAATACAGGATAAACAGGAGTGCATAACTATGAGGGGCACAGGGGGAGGGTTACTGGGCAGGGAGGGAAAGAGACTGGGTTAGGGTTGGGCATGGTAAATGCGGAGTGAAACTAAATGTACACGTAATGTTGAATGTAAAACAAACTCTTAAAATAAAATAAAAAGCTGCCAGCAGCCATCTAAGGTACAACCATTGGTTTCTCCCCATCTGGGACAAAGAAGAGTGAAGAAAATAAAAGACACATGGAAACAATTAGTCAAAAGGACTAATGGACCATGCAAACCTCAGCCTCTGTGACCCTTAGACCTGAAGAACTAGATGGTACATAGCTACCACTACCAACTTCTCTGAAAGGGATCACCAGTAGAAGGTCCTGGATAGAGTGGGAGAAAAATGAGGAACAAAAAACAGACTAGGTTTACTGGTGAGAAAGAGACTAGAGGAACCCACAAGACTATGGCTCTTGGTCACTCTTTGGACCTGGAACTAAACTCACTCCTGTAGCTGAATTTTCAGTCAAACAATAAACAAGCCTACAAAGTGAACAATAACTCTAAGAAGGTAGATACTCCTTAGAACAATCAACCATTCGAGATCAAAAGAGTAGCATTTGCCCAAGGACAAAGTTCAGAAGGCATGAAAGGTTAGGAAAGAAGGAAACATGGAAATGAAAAATATAGGAAGAAGGTGAAGTGATGTTACATTGAGGAGATTGCAATCAATGACAAGGAACAAAATGTGTGTTGAATTATTGAATGGAAAACTGATTTGCTCCATAAAACTTCACCCAAATCACAATAAAAAGTTTTTTTAAAAAATTGTGGGTGGTTACATAGGTAGATATGCACTCCTATATAGGTTTGGGAGGGCATATAGGAGTATATGTATGTGTGTACATATATAGGTTGTGGGCATTTGTATATACTTATTTGTATGTGCTACATATATATTTATATATATTAATAGGGGGCACAGTTATGGAAACTTCTTAGACATATTCAAATACCTCGTGGGACTAAGTTACTGGGCTTGAAATCTAAGGACCATCTAGGTCAATTGGTATTACATAGATATAACAAAGATAACGTTCTACATCCTACTTTGATGAATAGCATCTGGAGTCTTAAAAAGTTACAAGCGGCTAAGATACAACTATGGTCTCTTTCCATCTGGAGCAAAGGAGAGTGAAGGAAACTAAAGATTCAGGGAAGCAAATAGTCAACATGACTAATGGGCCACGTGAACCACAACCTCCCCTAGCCTGAGACCAGAAGACCTAGATAGTGCTCAGCTACCACCATCGACTGCTCTGATCAGGGACACAACAGAAGGCCCCCATCAGAATGGGAGGAAAATCCAGGACTAAACTCAAATTCATAAAAAAGGCCAGACTTACTGGACTTATAAACACTAGAGGAGCCTTCAAGACTACTGCCCTAAGATACCCCTTTAACCTGGAACTGAAGCTACTCCCAGAGGTCACTTTTCAGCCAAACAATAGATTGCCTATAAAATCATCAGTAACACCTGTGAGGAATGTTCTCCTTAGAACAATCAACTATATAAGACCAAATAGGCAATATTTTCCCAAAAGCAAAGATGAGAAAGCAGGAGGGGCAAGGCAATAGAGGGATGGAAACAGGGAAGGCAGAGTGGAAATGGGTAGAAAGCCAACACATTGCAGAGATAGCAACCAATTTCACAGAACAATTTGTATATAAACTGTTGAAGGGAAACTAATTTGCTATGTAAACTTTCACCTAAAACACAATAAAATGGCCAAATAACAATAATAATAAAAGATACATGCTACAAACAAATAGATGTGAAAGTAATGGTATATTCATTTAGTGTATATGGCAAATTTCTTTGGCTTTATAATAAAGAAATAAAATCATTGAATCAAGTAAGCCATCAAAAAACAGTGGTCATTAAGAGCTTGGAAAACATGCATTTAATATAGGCTTTTGTCCATTATAAGAGAAATGGTAATGTGTGAGGAGATGAGCTGTCTGGAAACAACTAACAAACACACTTGAGACACAAAGAATAGTACTCTCGGGCAAGAGACAGCACTGATGATTTAGTTTTTTGTGTGCAAAATATTTACCTTCTGGTTTCAAAGTGCTGAAAACCACGCATTTGGGGACTCAATATGTTCCAATAAAAACAAAGGTCCAACTATTGCTCTGGAAACTAAAAAGTAGAAGAGGGAAACTAAATTCTGCATGCTAACTGCAGACATCCTTTAGGGTGAATATATAGAAAAATTCAACGTTTCCCTAATGTGCTAAAGGCATCTATCCTGTTGTGGGAACACTGGTTTAGAGAAATAATTCTAAAACACCAAGTTTACCTCTCATTTCTTCTGCAAAATTCTGGCTCTGATTTAAACACTGCTTGACTTTCTTGAGTTCTTCCTCCAGGTGGCAGATATTTCGGGCCCTTTGGTCAGACTGACTCTTAAGGAGGCTGTTTTCCTTCTTCATTTCCTAAAACATACATTTAGTTGGTTATAAACAAAACATATGCTCAAACAAGTTATGACTTCTGCCTTAACAAGGGTCTCTAATGGAACTGTTTGTACATCTCACTGCAGAAACAATCACACTTTCCCTTTGAATACTTAATGAAGTCAGACATACTTAAATAATTTTACAGAGAGAAGTCAAAATAAAAGCACAAAACTCAAATCTGATATTAATTTCTTCCCTCAAGAAATATTTTTTCTTTGAACTTTCTGACTGTTCATGTGCTTATTAAAGAGTAAGCTCATAAGGAAAATCCTATATCCAAGATCCTCAGAGAGAAGTGAAGTTCCTACCACATCTGAACGATCAATTACATCTTTGCAGAGATTTGATATGTTAATAAACACAAAAACTTCATGGGACAAATTTTTACTTCCTTTTCACTGTACAACCATCTTAAGTGTCTCTGTTCTGGAGATGCCTTTATGGGTAAAATTACCTTCAACAAATCTTTATCAGGAAAATCTACAATGTGTTAGATACTGGACTGGGCATTTTGAAAGATGCAAATGTAAAGAAGACAGAGTCCCCACCCTCAAGGCAGGTATCACCCAGTGAAGGAAGATATGATCCTAGTAATATAATGTTGTTGTCATTACGCGCTGTCAACTCAGACCTGACTCATAGCGACCCCTTCTTGGGTTTCCAAGGTGCTATCACTACAGAAGTACATTGCCCAACCTTCCTTCCAAGGAGTGGCTAGTGGGTTTGAACCTCCAGCCTTCTGGTTAGCAGTCAAGTGCCTGAGGCACTATGTTACCAGAGCTCCTAGTAATGTAATAGACACTTAAAAAAAGAAATCTGTTGTTGTTGAGTCATTCTGACTCATAGCACCACACTCCTATACACCTAGGATGTGCTAAAGAGAGGCTGCATGTGGTATGGAAAGACAGAGGGATACACAACAGAAGGAGGAATTTATCTGAGCATCTGAGCTTTCATGGTGAAAACAGGTTCTTCGGATACCTGAATAAATGAAGTAGCCTGCATCGATATGCAATAACACAGCAGAGAGGCATATGCAGAACAAGTCTATTAATCTAGGGAGCTCTGTATATTTTTCTCACGCTTAAAACCAAGCAATAGGTGCATGCCAAATAAAAACACTACTGCTTATTAACCATATGAAGATGCATATACTCAATGTTATAAATCTTCCATTTATATTCCTCCATCTGTTTTTCAGCTTTCAATAATTTTATCTAACAAGTATCTCAACCTACCTTGTATGCCACCCTCTGGACCACAGGGAATTGGCATACATCGTTACAAACTGACAGAACTAAGCACATCCCATCCTTTGAGGGGGACATGGGACAGAACTATATATATGTGTGTGTGTGTGTATATATATATATATATACACACACACACACACATATATACATGCATACACACATATACATGTATATATACATATACACACATATGAAACTGTTTATACATCTATTATATATATATATATATATATATATATATATAAAATAAATACATTATTTATTCATTTAGCATGAAGTTTTAAAACTTTCATTTCAAAAATACCAAAAGAAGTGGGGGAAAACTTTGAATCTTAAAGAAACCATTGAGACCATCCTCTGAAATCCTTCTGCACCATTAGAAAAAAGATGGCTCTGGCAATGCTGTGCTGGAAAGCTGCCTTCAATTATCAGTCTGGTTTCTACCAGCAGATGGGTACCCATGTAGCAAAGCCAAATTCAAGAAGAGGGAGAATCTGGCTAGCAGACAGTACTTGAAAACTTACTGGTAACTGTTCTATTGATGTATATATGCTCATTTCATCATTAAATAAGACTAACTTGTAGTTATATTCCTCTGTCTCCTTTGTCCTAATCCTGCCTCCCTTCCACTAGCTAAACTGATACCATCAGATTAAGACATTGATCAGAACTAGAGGGCAGCTCTGACCAATATCAACACTGGCTAAAGTGCATACCAATTAGTGTTAAACTTTGCAGAATGAGCATAAAGTGTAACAAGGTTATTGATCTAAATTAGCATCATTTACCCACATAAACTATAACCACTTGTTTGTTCTTCAGGCTCAGAACAATCACCCCTCAAATGAGATTACATATGTGAGAGAAGAAACACCTTAAAGCACTTTAACAAGGGCAATGAAGCATTTATTAGAAGTATTGCTTCCCAAAATTTAACATCAGCCAGACCTCCATGATTGATGTCTGCTGAATGAGTTCAGCATAAAAGACTGACTAGAATTTAACCACCTGAGTTGATTTAGGATTTTTATTTTGCAACTTACAATTTCTTACCCTAAAAACTCAATCATATCAAATGACATCTACCCCACCTACCCCTGGGAAGACACTATGTACCAAAGCTGACTGCATCCCAGTGGAAGGAAGGAAAGTAAGAAGAAAAGGGAGGGAGGACATCAGGGAGGAAAGGGACCAGACTTACATTTATGTGTCTGTCAGCCTCTAACAGTTTCTGTCCAAAACTAGAGACAGTTGAATGAAAAGTAAGCTCAACGGAAAGATTAACATGTTTTTCTCTATTCTGGCATTAGCTCTGTAAATATTTGTTCCTAACGAAGAAACATTCAGCCAATCCTGGGACCCAGCAGGCTTATAATGCTATGGCTATGACCAACCCAAGAATTTTAAAAGGCCAGAATTTAGAAAATGAGCATCTGAAAATGGATCTGTAGGCTGCCATCCACCAGCAATTAGTTTTCAGTGAGGCTGCAGCCACTTAAGACTTGTATGGGTAGCTCATTATCAACAATGAGCTAACCATACAAGGGTATATTCTCCTAGGCATCTCTTGCATCCTCACATGATTTGCAAAATTGGGCACTATTCTGGAAAAAACACAACAAAATTCCCTATAACCACAAGCCAGCATCTGAGCTTAGCAAGCAATTCCACCCAGATCAACTTCAGTTTAGGAGCATCAAGGGAAGCATCATTTCCTAGGGCCAGACAAAACAAATTTCAGTTACTGTGTGGCTTTTCATGATCCCATCCATGAATGAAGCTTAATACATCCCCTGCTGGGGTAAAGTCTGTATCCTGAAAAAGGAATGATGCAAAGGATGTGTTTTTCCCTTTCCACTAATCATTCTTGCCTGCCAGACCAACCTCCTTAGAGAACGTAGTGCAATACAGATCCCTGTGCTTGGAAAGGTCCCCAAGCTAGTGTTTCCTGATCTTGACTGTCAAATGGAGGTATTTTATTGCCCAAATCCAATGCTACTTACTGGGCTGGCACTGACTACTGGATGAATAGCTTGTCTAAACCCTCCATTCACTTTGATACTAAATGTTAACTTTACCCTTGATGGAGCCATGAAATCACATTCCCAGCACTGATAATTTCTCAATGTAAGCAGCATATTAGTTCACTAAACACGAACAAGGAAAATTTCAGTACAACTGTCACATTATTTCAGCATCCAAATCCTGTATGCATGCTAAACTTGTTGGTACTTACTTATAATTGGATATAGAAAGTTACCAGGGTGACAGAACAAGAGAATTTTCAACATTAAACATCTCAGGTGCATTGTCACCTCCTTATCATTTTATGGCAGATAGCAAACAATGGTTAACATCAAAAGGTCATAACAGTTGTGAAGACCACAGCAATGAACAGGTGAAGTGCAACAACACAATTTACTTAGAAGCACTGGGCAAGACATCTTACATACAATATTTAACGTAACCATTACTGAAGGGATATTATTAGCCCTAGTATACAGATGAGGTCTCCTGGGTAGAATAAATAGTTAAGCATTCAAGTACTAACCAAGAAGTTGGAGGGTCAAGTACACCTAGAGGTGCCTCAGAATAAAAGACTGGTAATCTAAATCCAAGTAAGCAGCCATTGGAAACCCTATGGAGCACAGTTCTACTCTGACACACATGGAGTCACCGTAAGTCAGAATCAACTCAACAGCAACTGGTTTGGTTTTTTTATATTTAGATGAGGAAAGTCAAGCTCAGAAAAGGCAAATTATTCTCCCAAGGTCACACTGCAGGTAAGCTGGTAGAAAAGCAATGCAATTTTACATCTCTCTCACTCTAAAGCCACCACCACTATACCACTAAATTATACCACCACTCTAGCTGGGTAACTCACTTTTCTGATTCCAATTCCAATTCAAAGTGCTAGAGCCAGTAAACCTTCAGCATTCTTGATATCCTCAAAATAGCAGACTTACTAAATGACCACATACTGTCCTAGGTGCTATCACGACTGCCCTCATTTGACACAGAAATCAAATGAAACTCAAACATGACATGCATTTAAATTAGTAAAGGCTAGAGTCGATTGTAGAAGCTCTACTGCTGACAAGCCAGACCTTGTGGGGATGAACAAGTCTTCAGAAACACCTGCATGACAATGTCCTGCCCACTACTGCAACTAGGCCAAGCAAACAGTGTTCAAAGTGTTTAGACCCTCTTAACCAGATGAATGCTTTTACAAAATGTTTCCACTAGGCATCCAGGGGAGTCATGGGAGAGTTGCTGGCTGGAAAAGAAGCTCACAGAGGGAAGAGTTCAGTGCCAGTCTGCCTGTGGAAGTGTTAGCAGAAGCATCTGTTGCTTGGTCCCCACTGGCCAAAAGGCAAACATTTGTTTTGCTGAAACAAACACTTTCATTTGGAAATGTTCACTGATGAAACCATATCGGATTTGAAGTTTTCTTCCACTTGTGTTGCTGAAGTTCTGGCCTTCTGTCTCCAACAGCATTAGCCCTCTGAGGCTCACTGCTCTACAACTGCCTCATTGCTACTGACAGATGTTCTGATTTTACAATCATGATACATTCTCAAAGCTTTGGAGGTAAATACGTATAAACTTTTCTCACCTAGATAAATGACCGTCCTTTATAGAGAAAAATCCAAAAATACAAAAATGACCAGATAGAGACTGGTGGAATCCCTGAGACTACAGACTCAGGTTATCCTTCAGGCCTGGAACTGAAATCACTTCCGTGGATTAGCTCTCAGCCAAACAGTAGAAAGGCCTACAAGCAGAACAACTACTCCAGGGCGACACAGTCACCGACCCCAGGGAGATGCACCCCTTAGATCAATCAGCCATGAGACATCAGAAGGGCAGCATTCACACAGAGTGAAAGCTGGACAGACAGAAATGTATAGCTAAGAAGGGCACAGGGAGGAGACAGTCACAGGGAGAAGAGCTTTTTACTGTTGGGATTGTAATCGGAGCCATGAAACCAAATGTGCGTGAACTGTTGAGAGTAAAAAGAATATGCTTTGTAAATTTGCACCCAGAACACAATTAAAAAAAAAAAAAAAAAGAGTGATCAGAGAATATTTAAGAATGAGTGAATAATCTTCACCCAAATCACAATTAAAAAAAAAAAAAGAATGAGTGAAAAACATTCTTTCCTATAATATGTGAGAGAGAAGAAATTCCCACTCTCTTCTGTTAAGTTTTTCTCTAAAGTTGCAATGTTGATTTATGGCTGTATTCAAATTCCTCAGTCTGTTAACTGTCCCTAAGTGGTTCTTAATTAAGTCCTTTCTAATAAACTCCAGCACACTAAGTAAACTCAGAGAGATGACAAATTGAAAGTATGTCTGAATAAAATTCTATCAGTAGAAACAGAGGACCCCTCGTAGCCATACTATTTGTGAATCCTCATTTACCATTTTGTACAATAAAGATAAATCTCCCGAGACACTGTCAACTAGTGCTTGCATGTACTGAACACTATGTTAATGGACTTCTGAAGCCAAAATAATGGCAATTAACAATTATTTGATGGTTTTATAAGAATTTAAATCAAGAAATTCTTCATCTGTTGTTCCTTTTGTTTATATAAATCTATAACTTTCCACAGGTATTTTTTTTATATTTGATAACTCAAAAGCTGACCCTTGGAAAAGAGATTTAAATAACACTTCCCATCACCAATTTTGTTTCTTTCCTTTCAGAGAAATCTCTTGTTTTTCTTTCATTTTTCCAGTCTCCCAGTTGGTCTAAATTTATTCTTAAACAAACAAAAAGTACAAGACCCTAATACAAGTTTTCCTATAATTATCAAATACCCATTAATAATTATATTGAAACGGAAAGTGAAAAAAAAAATAGTCACATTCAATGTCATAAATTATATGCACAACTTTTTGCAATACTTCTGGCAAGTAAAGAAACTACTGAAAAATAATGTAGACATTCTCTTTTAACTCTCACACTGCACCCTGTACAGACGTTGGTAAATACTCATCTTTACTCCTCACTTACCTCACTACTTCTCCTCAGCTCATTCTCTTTGACCTGACTCGCTTGTAATGCCTGTTCAGTTCTGCAGAACTTTTGCTTCAACTCTTCTAAAGTTTTTTCTAGCTGTTGCTTTACTGATGTGACCTACCAAAAGAAAAGTAAGGTTTCAGTTTTATGGTTTTGATTTTTTTAATTATCATTAATTCTTAAATATAAAAAAGGTTACTGGATATAATATTTGGCATCTATCTTGGTGTGACACAATATACATCACAGCTGAATATAGCACTGTAACTTAAAATATCATCATGTTAACCTGTGACATCACTTGGGGACAGCATATAGAAGATGAAAGAAGCTGGATTTGGGGAGGAAGCAACAAAAGAAAAGTATTTATCCACAAAATTAAAGCAACAAAAATTTGCAGCAAGAAACAGATAAGAGATTATATTTGCAATACCATAAAACCTGGGAAAGCCAGAATCTGTGTAAGGCAAAAAGCTGTCAGAGAAAAAAAACTCGAATATTTTCCACTGAAATGAGCAACAAAAATGTGGTTAAGGCAGCACCCTGTCAAAGGCAGGAAACTTGTGAGACGCGGAGAAACAAGGCAGACCCATCGAGTTCTGTCCCTCACAGGTTTCACTGTATATATAATAGAATGTAAAAGATCATATCCATAATATAAAGCACATCTACAATTTACAAAAAGATGAAAAGTGGGTAAAGGGTAGAAAAAGAATTTAATAGGAGAAACACATATGGTGAAACAACTTCTGAAAGAAAGAACCTCAATGGTAATCAAGGAAGTGTGAGTTAAAACAATATAAAATGTCATTCTTCATTCCTTAGTTGACAACATTTGAAAACCCAAGACTACCTATTAGCAAGAACAAGAAGCCCCTCTTACTCCTGGTGAGAATAAACTGCTACAAATTTCTTGGAGGGCAATTTGGCACTATCTATCAAATGTCAGATAGCATGTGGACTCCAAACTATCAATTTCATGTCCAGAAATCACTTACAGAAAGAGCAGCACATACCACAAAGATATCTTCCCAGTGATATTATAAACAGTGCGACGGCACAAGAAAGTGTTGGAAACCTAAATATCTATTACACAGGGAATGATTATACAAACCAAGGCTCAGACAATATCAATGGAATGTTTCCCTTTAGTTAAAATGAAAACAAATCAAAAAACCCAACTCTACATTTTTAAGCTGTATATTTTTAAAAAGGTTTTAGAAGATACCATTACACTGTTATAATAACAATTTGTCCTAGGAAGGGGAGTAGGAAAGAGAATTTTTTTTTTCTTTCTACCAACTTGGACAGATGGATAGACAATGAATCTATAAACACCTCACATAGCTCCTCAAATAGAACAGTGATCAATAAACATTAACTCTCCCCATCCTCACCTCCCTTCCCCTATCCCTAGTTTCCCTACTAAGAGAATCATTATGTCCTATGTAAGGGGCTCTACTTAAATGCTAAAGCCTAAATTTTAGAAATAAAATGGAACTCTGACAACAGATGAATACCTGACATATAGAGAGTGAAGTCTGAAATGTTCTGCTTTCTCTCACAAAATGGGTCAAGAAAATAAACTACTGTCCATATTCTGGTTAAAGCATTTGTCTGCTAACCAAAAGTCCAAACTCACCAGCCGCTCCACAGAAGAAAGATGGGGTGGTTTGCTTCTGTAAAGATTTATAGCCTTGGAAACCCAATGGAGGTCACTATGGGTCAGAATCGACTCGATGGCAGTGAGTTGTTCTGAGTTATGTTCTGCTATCTTAACAGCTATAGATATGCAGTGCTTAAGTGTAGATATACCAGTGAAGTAAACAGATAAAATCCTGTATAAAATCCTGTCTTTACAGAACTTATAGATCAGAGCAATGGAAGGAAGATAATATAAAAATAAACAGATTACTGTATTTCAGTTTTTCATAACTACTATGAAAAAAATAAATAAAGCAGGGTAAAGGAAACAAAGTACTTGGTGGCATGGAGACATGCAGGGATAAGGGAAGATTTCAAGTGACATTTGCAAGTGAAGGAGTAAGCCTCAGGGATCTATCTGGGGACAGAGCAGTCCAGGAAGGGAAGCAGCAAGAGCAATGGCCTGGAGACATCAAGGGCTGGTGTATTCAACCAATGGCAAGGAGGTCACGTGGTTAGAAGAGTAGATGAAGGTAGAGCAGGAGAAGATGAGACCAGAGGGGAGTAGAGGGGGAGTGAGGAAGGCCATCTAGGGCCCTGTGGACCTTTGGAAGGACCTGGCTTTTACTAAAAGAGACGGTATGTGACTGCAAGATTTTAAGCAGAAAAGTGCATGATATTTTTAAAAGTTAATCTGGCTACTGGTTAAAAACAGATCATAAGGAGGTAAGGGCAGAAATGAGAAGATCAGTTTGAAGGCCAGTACAATAACCCAGGGGACAGATGATGACAGTGGTCTACAATGAAAAGTAGTTATACTCAAGATAAAATACAGAGTTAGACATGTAAGTCAAGACCATTCTTAGTAGACAGGAAGGAATACCTGGAGGGTCTCTTGGGTGGCCGGCAAGCTTCTAACTTCTGACATGGGTTATGGATTTAGAGAGCATCCCATATAAAGTGAATTAAGTTGCACATTTGTTCTACATAGATTTTTGTATTTTAACAACAAAAATTTAAATATATATATTATATAAACACATAAGGAGCTCAGTGGTGCAATACCTAAAGCATTTGACCACTAACCAGAAGGTTGGAAACTAAAACCCACCAGCCACTCCACAGAAGGAAAATGAGGCAATCTACTTTTGTAAAGAGTTTCTGCTCAGAAACCCAGTAGGGGTTGCTGAGTCGGAATTGACTGAATGGCAGTGAGTTTGGTTTTTTTGGTTTATATAAACATACATAATATTCACACATATATACACATACATACAAATACATACACACAGAAATGTGTGTGTAAATAAATAAGGGTAGAGTTGGCAGAGTTTTAACAATCAGTTGTGAGGTGAGAAAACACAACTGCTATTTGCTAGGATGAAAAAATCAGGAAGGCGCAGGTTTGATAAGAAATATCTGGAGTTCAATTATTAAAAGGTTATGCTTATGATGCCTAATAGGCATGGAAGTAGAAATACCAAGTACAGGCCCAGCAGTCTGAAGTGCAGAATAGATGTCCAGGCTGAGTCATCATCATACAGATGGTATATAAAGCCATAAAACTGGATGACGCCACTTTGGGAGTGAGTGTTTAATAAGTAAATTGATTGCAATTCTCAATGCTTTAATATTATTGGGCATAAATTACTTGGGACAACTGCTACCTGGTCAGACGATCAAGAATCACCAGAATTATCAGACACATGCACAGACTTTCAGAACTGAAACCCTAACTCATGCCACTCTTTCTCAAGACAAGAAAACAGATCTAGAAAGCTTCTATTTGCACTCTACCGAGATAAGTTAAGGAAAAAGCAGACAGAACGTTTTTCTTTTAAAGTGCTATCCATCAGCTACAGTATATAAATAATGAGTATAAGTTGGGGGTTACGAAAGAGAGACAAATAAGGTAGCACCATACTTTATCCAGTTCAGCCTGTAGGATATTGTGCGTGTTCTTGGCTTGCTGAAGCTCCTGGGTGAGTTTGGCTTTCATCTGAATGCACTCTTGGTCCAGTGTTTGGAAAGATCGCTGTTGACGGGAGAGCTCCTAAAAAAAGTAAAAAATACACAGATGAAACTGACCATGGTTGAAAAGGGAGACTCCAAGGTGAGACACAGACCTCCTACAGGCAATGCTATATTAAAAGGGCAGTAGACAATAGGGAGCCTAACCGACCATCCACTTAATGATAAACATAATCAGCTCTAGCACTGGTCCCAGTAATCAAATTCAAGTCTCTGAAGCGGAAGGAGAAGGAGTCTGCCAGTTGACCACATGGAATCTAGCCTGTCTCCACCTCATCCCTGATTCTAATCATCTCTATTTTGAAGAATCATAACTAATCATAACTAATCATAACTAATCATCTCTATTTTGAAGAATCTAAGGGCAAAAGAGAGACGAGCTGATCTGTAATGGTCACAACTTAGCTCAGAAAGTAAACACACTCAAAATTGGGATTTAGAGCATCATATACCATACAGCAGTTACAACAGTCTTCAATTTAAAAGGACAGAAAATACATACCAATTAACTTTGACAACGACAGAAAGATACTAGATTAACACCTCCAGTTGCTCTTATTCAAAAGCTATAGACTCCCAACCCATATGAAACACTTTCAGGCTAAATCACCTGAAGGAAACAGAATGGCAGCACTATTCAGGTCAAGAAGTACATCTACCCCTAACTTCTCTTCTGACTTCCCCAATACATCAATTACCATTCTCATCAAGTGCCAACCCATATATAAGTCTTTGTAATACAATTTCCTTCACAGCAGGGAGTACTGGGAAAAAAATGGGATCATTTCCTACTCAGTATCTAATCTCACATAATCACAAAACATGGATAAACAAAATTCTGAATTCTCATTCTTTCTAATCAAAAATTGAAAGACAGAAAATAAAGTGAACTTTTGCTCACAGAACATCTACCCTCTAAAAGAATAAAAGTTTCTCTTTTCAAATGATCAAACTATGCAATGCGGGCAAGAGTCTTCCAGACAATATTAACACACACAATGGGTGCCTTCCAGTGCTCAAGGCATGTATTAATAGCCCTGTAACCATGCCCTGAAGTCACCTAGTGTCATTGTAAACTGGTTATTTAATTTGGAATTTTATTTTTAAATCTTATTTCGCCATGATTTTACATTCCATAGTCTTCCATCCTATACAACAGTTCTTACAATTAGGGTTTTCAAATCAATTTGCCACACAAGGGGGAAAGAATGTCAGAAGGACAATTGACCACCATGTTGGGACCTTGTTGTTTTTGTAAACTTGCTGCATAAATATAAACTTAACAATAAGAGAAGCATTTTCCATCACATACACGTCTGTGAAAACTGCACTTTAGTCTGATAACTACAGGAATAAATTTCCATTCAAAAAAATTATATTTTATTTTATTAGTCTGCTATCATGAAAAGTCAAGAAAAGGTTTATATACGGAACGAAACTTCCTTTGTTGGTTACCAGGGGGTGGGAGGGGAAGGGAGGGAAATTGCTAGACAGAGAGAGACAAGTATTGGCTTGGGTGAAGGAAAGGCCAATGCACCAAATGTGAGTGATGAACACAGTAGCACTGAGGAAGAAGAAGACATTGAGAAGTACCTGGGAGATACAGACAACAAAGATGAACCCTTTTGCATGTACAGTACCATATTGTCAATGAAGGCAAGCATTGATCTACGGGTGGACAGATGGGTGGACAGATGTGTGGACAGGTTGAACGATCATGTCTGCCTATGCAGGGGGAGTGTGCCCATAAGCATGTATATGGTTGGCAGACAATGTTTCTACAAGCATATTTGTATGTTCTATAGAATGTCAAGGTATATAGTAGAGCTGACAAGGGACAAGGTTGTAGTCACTTCTTGGCCACAACCAGCTACCTGGAGGGAGCAAGTAGTTGGACCTGTGGGCTCAGAGCCATGGTCCCAGGGGACATCAAACTCAACTGGCATAACAAACCACACAAAAACATTGTTCCATAACCTACTTTGGTGAGTAGTGACTGGGACCTTAAAAGCTTGCAAGCGGCCATCTAGATGCAACAATGGGTCTCTCCTTGTGCACAGCAAAGAAGAATGTAGAAAAGCAAAGACATGTGGAAACAATTACTCCAAGGGACTGGTAGACAATGCAATCCTCAGCCTATAAGACCATGACACCATAAGAACTAGATGGTGCCCGGCTACCACTGCCAACCACTCAGAGGGGGATTTGTGCAGGAGATCCTGGATAGAGTGGGGGAACAATGTGGAACAAAACTCAAATTCATTAAAAAAAAAAAAAGACCAGGTTTGCTGGTCTGACAGAGCCTGGTGAGACCCCTGAGACTATGGTTCCTAGCTCCCTTTCAGGTCTGGAACTGAACTCAATCCTGTGGCTTCCAGCCAAATAAAAGACAGGCACATGGGGTGAACATTTACACCAGGTAGACATACTTCTTGGAGAGATCAATCATGGGAGATAAGAAGGGCAGTGTATACATAGGGAGACAGTGGGATCAGGAGTACATGGGACAGAAGGATACAGGGAAGAGGTAATTATGGGGAGGAAGGAGCAGAACTGTTACATTATGGGAAACTGCAGTCAATGTCATGAGACAAAATGGATATGAACTACTATATGGAAAACTACTTTGCTCTGTAAACTTTCACCCAAATCACAATAAAAATTTAAAAAGAAAGAAAATTATATTTTCTGTCACCAATAGTGTTTTCTGCCTTTTTGTTACTGCTCATCTCCATGACCTAATGTAAATAAAAAATATGATGGGAGCTCTGGTAGTGTAGTGCCTAAGACACTTGACTGCTAAGCAGAAGGCTCACGGTTCAAACCCATCAGCCACTCCTCGTAAGGAAGATGGGGCAATCTACTTCCGTAGTGATACTGCCTCAGAAACCCAAGGAGGGGTCGCTATGAGTTGGGTCCAACTCGACGGCACATAACAACAACTACAACATCATGATGAATTGGGGGGGGTGGGGAAGAATAGTCCAGACAAACTTCTCATGAATCCATTCACCTCACCTGTTGAAACTCCTTTTCTCTTTCCTTCATTTTCTGTTCCAGGGCATATCTGGCACTTTCTCCATTTTGTCGCTGACAACTCAAATCTTCAGTCAATTTTTTCAGTTTTTGTTCCAATGCAGTACACTGACAACAAAATAAAATGTTCATTACACAACAAATATCACTCAAGGAAGGAAGCAAATATCTGAGTTTTAGAAAGATTAGTCCTAAGACTTGGATGAAGTTTACCATTGGGTTTTAATAGTTTAAACGCAAGAGTTTATGAAATAAAAACATTAGCTGAATATCAAAACCACTGTTAATTATTTTAGCACACATAAAATTTATACTTGGGCAGCATTAGCAAGGATGTAAAGCATTAGAAGGCCATTTAAATAAATCCTTCAAAATTTCCATTATGGAAAAAGAGACCAGCATTTCCAGGTAACGACTCATCTAACATTTTGTCGCAAGCAAATGAGAGGTTAAAATGCACTAGTGTTGACCTGTGTCATTTCAGAGCCTGCAAATGAGAGGGTCCCCCACCACCCTCAAATGGAAGTCTGTTTCAAGCATAATGGAACTCTCTGGGAAATTTTAAATATTAGAATGATATTTAAATATTAAATATTAGAATGACACAAGACTCTCAGTAAGCCACTTTAAATTTCTGGAGGTTCACAGCACTTAAGAAAAAATCCCAACTTTAATTAAGCTACCACAAGCAATACAGACAACATTTTATCACCTAAAGCCTTTCTATGTAGTTAGTTATCCCTGAAACTTTTAAAATATAAACTACTTGAAATTTTAGAATGTTCTTCTAAAATTAGGTTAGAACAAAATGGTCTGAATTCTTCAAGTGTTCAAGTGTTGAACCTCATTCCTCTGAATCTTCCCCATACTGCTCAATTCCTTAAACTGCTTACAAAGCAACTTTAAACTCCTATGGAGAAGTAAGAAAATTTCATATTGGTTGGGGAGAACTGCCTGGTACAAAAGAAATTTGCCCCAACTTGGCAAATTTTCGTCAGGTAATGGATTTCTCTGAGATTCATTATAGTCTCATTTAGAACTATTAGAAATACTGTAACTAAAAATTCAGAGGAAAAGAAAGCACTACTATTTTAATACCTTGCCAGAAAACCAGCCAGTCACCAATTAACTAAAAAAAGAGGAAAAGAGCAAAGCTTGTCAGAAATGGCTAAATGATTTTGCAAATGCCAGAACTTTGGAAGCACAAAATTCAAGAAGTAATTGAGTCAGTGGTTCAAAATAATTCACCACCCTAGACATTCAGACAACTGTGCTCCTTATTGTCCTTGAAGTTTTAAATCTCTACGGAATATTAAGGGGCTCTGGTAGCATAGTGGCTAAGGCACTTGACTGCTAACCAGAAGGCTGGTGGTTCAAACCCATCAGCCACTTCTTGGAAGGAAGGTTGGGCAATCTACTTCCGTAGTGATACCGCCTCGGAAACCAAAGGAGGGGTGGCTATGAGTCAGGTCCAACTTCACGGCACATAACAACAAGAAGGAATGATATTATGGAGACTATAACAATAATAAATAGGAATTCAAAAGTAAGTATTGAGAGCCTACTATATATGTCAAGCACTGTTCTAGGCATTGGGGATACAGAAGTAAACAACTCAGACAAAAATCATAGCCCAAATGATTGTCCCAAACTTCAAATGTTTGACACTTCTCAAAAAAAGGCACAGAAAAATGGCAGAGAAAATGAATGAACCCTTGGCTCCCTCTGGTGGTGCTCCTTCAAACTGCAAAATATTCTACCATAGCCACCTCAGAGTCAAGAATTCTTTCCTCCTAGAAGTGTTATGTTAAAAAACACACAAACTAACAAACAAAAAATTCCTTGAGTGGGTTATTACATATAATCTTTGTATGCTGACATTCTAATGTCAACAATGCGCAAAGCACATAAGAGCAGCTGACCACTAGGTGTCATGAACGCTCCATTAAAAAAAAAAAACACTCCCATAGTGACCCCCACTGGAAGTTGTAAATCTTCATGGAAATAGATTGTCCCGTCTTCCTTACACAGAGTAGCTGGTGGGTTTGAACCGCTGACCTGGTTAGCAACCAAATAAAATGCCTTATCCACTACATCACCGAACTCCTTGAATGCTCCATATTACCCTAAAATGGGGTCTACAGCTTGAGTCCTTGTAATGACATTAGCCTAGGCCTAGAAGCTCCCTCAGCTCTATGACCCTAAGTTTCTCCCTTGTGAAATGTAGGTGTTAAACTGCAAGTTTGCTGCCAACCCCAATGCTCTATCACTTCTGGAGTTCAAGCCTTATATCCCACAAAGTTTGTAAACACTTAGAAAGAAGCATAATAGAAACAGCATATGTAACATGGTATTGATTTAAAATTAGCTTCATTTTATTTGGTAAATAACTCTAGAGATAGATCTGGGAATAGCATTGTTGTTGTGTTGTTATGTGCCGTCAAGTCGGCCCTACTCATAGCAGCCCCTCCTCCTTGGGTTTCCGAGGCAGTATCACTACAGAAGCAGATTGCCCAACCTTCCTTCCGAGCAGTGGCTAGTGGGTTTGAACTGCCAGCCTTCTGGTTAGCAGTCAAGTGCCTTAGGCACTATGCTACCAGAGCTGCTTGGGAATAGCATAAACAAAGCATATTTTGATTTCAGGAATGCAACTTACAAAATCTTATTATTCTTACAGTTAAGGTAGAGAAAAGTAAACTATATTTTCAGGTAATGTTTGAATGACATGGTAACGGCATGAACCTGAGGAACACAATGGTATCAAAAGAAAAGAATCATCAACCTAGAATTTTATACCCAGCAAATATCCGCTTCACTCTACAGGAATGAAGAAGTCAAGACATTCTCAAATGAAAGAAACCTAAATTCGTCACCAGCAGGCCTAATCAAAAAGAATGGCTAACAAAACTTTTCTAAACAGAAAGGAAATGACAAAAGAAACTTTGGAAGAAATTAGGAGGAAAAAAGAATATGGTTAAGAAGCAAACAGGTAGGTAAATAAAAAAGGCTTTCCTTGTCTTTATTGTTCTAAATTATATTTTACAATTGAAGCAAAAACTACAATACAGCCTGATTCAATTCTAAATACTAGTCAATCTTCATTACTTGCAAATTCCTTATTCACAAATTTGCCTATTTACTAAAAAATACTTGTGGCACTTTCTGTCATTTAGACATGCAAAGCTGTGAAAAATTCCCAATTGAGGTCAAACAAGTCCAGTTCCATAATGATTAACTGCAAATTCACAGGGGTTTTTCTAGAATATAACTAATACAAATAACAGGAAGTGACTGCATATTTATAGAGAAAACATTTATGAGAATTATAAATTACCAAAACCCACTGCCATCGAGTTGATTCCAACCCATAGCAACCCCCATAGGGTTTCTAATGCTGTAAATCTTTACCGAAGTAGACTACTTCCTCCTCCTCCTACAGAGCAGCTGGTAAGTTTGAACCACCAACCTTCTGGTTGCAGCCAAATCCTTACCAACTATACCACCATAGCTCCATATATTATAAAAAGTGGAGGGTAAATGGGAAAAAAAGAGTTAAGTTTTCTATATTTCCCTCAAACTGGTAAAATGACATGAGTAGACTGATAACTAGTGTATTAAAAAAAAAAAAAAAAACTCACTGCCATCAAGTCAAATCTCACTCACAGCGACCCCTCCTTGCGTTTCTGAGGAAGTATCTCTACTGAGGTAGATTGCCCAGTCTTCCTTCTGAGTGGCTGGTGAGTTTGAACCACCAGCCTTCTGGTTAGCAGTCAAATGCCTTAAACACTATGCCACCAGAGCTCCTTAATTGGTGTATATGTAATATAAAATCTACAGCAGCCATTTAAAACATTCTACAAAGAAATACTGGTTTAAAATCAAGAAGGGAGTGTGTCAGGGTTGTATCCTTTCTCCACACTTATACAATCTACATGCTGAGCAAATAATCCGAGAAGCTGGACTGTATGAAGAAAAACGTGGTATCAGGATTGGAGGAAGAGTCATTAACAACCTGAGATATGCAGACGATACAACTTTGCTTGCTGAAAGTGAGGATGACTTGAGGCACCTACTGATGAAGGTTGAAGAATACAGTCTGCAGTATGGATTACGTCTCAATATAAAGAAAACAAAAATCCTCACAACTGGACCAATGAGCAGCATCACAATAAATGGAGAGAAGATTGAGGTTGCCAAGGAATTCACGTTGCTTGGTTCTACAATCAATGCCAATGGAAGCAGCAGTCAGGACATTAGACAACATGTAGCATTGGGAAAGTCAACTGGAAAGGAACTGTTTCAAGTGCTGAGGAGCAAGGATATCTCCTTGAGGACTAAGGTGCGCCTAACACAAGCCATGATATTTCCAATCGCCTGGTATGCATGTGAGAGCTGGACAATGAATAAGGAAGACCAAAGAAGAGTTGATGCTTTTGAGTTGTGGTGCTGGCGAAGAATGCTGAAAGTACCATGGACTGCTAAAAGAACTAACAGATCTGTCCTGGAGGAAGTGCAGCCAGAATGCTCCTTGGAAGCAAGAATGGCCAGACTTCGTCTCACCTATTTTGGTCATGTTGTCAGAAGGGACCATTCCCTGGAGAAGGATGTCATGCTTGGTAGGGTGGAGGGTCGACGAAAGAGGGGGAGGCCTTCAACGAGATGGATTGATACGGTGGCTGCAATGATGGGCTCAAGCAGGGATTGTGGGGCTGCCATGGGATCGGGCAGTGTTTCATTCTGCTGTGCATGGGGTCGCTATGAGTCGGAAACGACTCGACGGCACTTAACAACAACAACAACAAAGAAATACATTCAATGCACATTCGTGTTCATTGCAGCATTATTCACTATAGCAAAAAGATGGAAACATAAGTACACATTAATAGATGAATGGATAAACAAAATGTGGTACCTACATACAATGGAATACCACCCAATGATAAAGAAAAATGATGAATGTGAAAATCTTACAACATAGATAAATCTAGAGGACATGCTAACTGAAGTAAGCCAATCACAAAAAGACAAACATTGTATGATACCACTTTTATAAAAAAGTCAAGAACAGAAAAAAAAAATTCATATGGAGGCAAGAATGGAATGAGTAG